TGCACTCTCCATTTAAATACTAGACAAATACCAGTCTTTTTCATTACTGTTTTCTTCTCATTGTTTTTACAATCAGATCCCCCAGGATTTCTCATAACAGAGTTATTCAAAAGCATTAATGAATTCCAGGCAGGGAGCTGTTACAGAGCCTTTCATTAGACTTTCTACATAGCTGAAGTGGGCAATATGTACACTTAGCAGCCTTGATCTGACACATCTCTCCTATGGGTAGGTTAAAATGAAACAGGTCATATACACATTATATGAGACTTGTACTTAGTAAATTCTGTCCATTGGCCTATTTTGACTACTAGTATTGGCTCCACTGAGGGCTTGGAATTACCATAGAGGCAGAAATGCAGGCAGATTTTTAACAGAGAAGGGACAGGAGAAACTACCCAAGAAAACACCCACTGAGCAGTCAATATGACAAAGCTAAACTACGTTTTAACTCGGAAATGTCTTTCTCTGCTCCATGAGAAGTGACACAACTGCCCAGCTGTACACAGTAAAGTGGTGAGTGCCAGTGCACACTCAAACATGGATATTCTGTGTTTAAACAGAGGGGTCAAGCCAAACTGTACAAAATTACCAATACATTACCATCACTTATTTGTGAACATAAATAAATAGGCAGAAATCTACTACATTTTTATGTCAAAACCAGCTGACAGACACATACTTCTATTCATACTAGGGTCTTCTTCATTTCTTTTCTCTGGTCAATGAAGCCACAGTCTGTAGTAACAGATCTTTCAAACAAGGCCAACATGCAGGTGAGAATCTACTATTCATGACAGTAACAAGGGGTTGGGCCATGCCTTTGTGTTCATAAGCCACTTCAGAGGTGGTGGCCATCCTCTGGCACCAGTCATCCAGTCTTTAGGTATATCTGGTTATGGATGAGGAACAGGCGAAAGTCTCAGGAGAGAAGCCACAAATGCAGGGACTGGATGGGACTTTGAGCAACCTCATCTAGTGGAGGGTGGGAGGTTGAGATTAGATGAGTTTTAAGGTCTCTTCCAACCCAAACCATTTTATAACTCTAAGAGACCAGAGAGGCTGGACAATGCTGCTATATAAGGAGAGGAGGCTTCTACAGATGTGGTAGAAACATGCTGGCGCTTCCAGAAGCCTGGGACACAGCACCACTGCTATTTGCTTTCCTATGATTTAACTGTGAATTTTCTTTTCCATGGCTGTTCTTCTGGCACAATTCACCCAGCAATAAATTTAGAAGAACTTGTAAATAGTTATTTTAAGAGGAAACATCTAGGAACTGTAAAGGCCATGAAATGCTGGGCCAGCTCTTCAGCTGGTCTAAATTAACGTAGTTCCACTGTCTCCGATGCCATTATGCAGATGTACGCTGGGCAAGAAGCTGCTTCTCAACGTTACATTTTACTTCAAAGCTCAAATTTTTATCCTCATGAACTGTACAGTTACAAACATGTCACTGGCTACTGGTTGGGTTTTTTTCAGTTTGTGGGGCTTGATGGGTTTTGTTTTGATTTTTTAAACTTTATTTAAACACTTTTTTTTGCCTCATTTTAGGTATTCTTAAAGCTTATACCAACTATGGCAAAGTTCTATGGTCTTGTAAAGCCCCACTTCAGCCACGATTAAGCCTTCAGCCAGCAATTGTTTAGTCAAAAGAGGACATATTTCTGGATGCCAAATTCAGCCAGTTGAACAGTTGTAAAATTAAGCACGAATACTGTACACTCATATCTTGTCCTATAAATGTGCCATACTGCCTGTTATATTCTAGCAGTCTTTAAGCTGTTTTATGGGCACACATCCAACACAAATATGTCACTAAATATTCACTAAGATGAGCCAATTGTGAAAAAAAAATATTTGATTAGAAAAGTGAAAGGGTGCAAGTATTATCCCAGGAGATACACACATATATGTATCTCAATTGCCCAAAGATGAGTATTTTGTTTGGCACTAATGACTCTCGTGAGGGTCACTTTCTGACCTAAGCCAGTAACTTACGTTTGGGAAATACAGAGGCATTAAAACATCTCATAAATTGGAGAAACAGACTAAGCCAGTATGATTACATTCATGGAAGCAGACTGAGAAGTTCTGTGTTTAGAAAGAAGAAATGGAATGCCTAAATAGAAAAAGTCAAACCATCAGCTAGGCAACTGTACTGCAGAAAAGAAATAGGAACTACCCTATCCCAGAGCTGCACACCTCTATAATGTGACACTAAGGAAAAACAAATGTCATTCAGGAATGCATTATGAGTATCAGATAGAGAATCATAGACTGTAAGTCAGAGAATGTAATTATTCCATCCAACTCAACACCAGAGTAAGGCATTGGGTAGAGCACTCTGTCCAGTTCAAGAACCCATCTAAAAGTGACTGACAGACTGGAAAGAGGCCAGTAGAGATCATCAAGACATACAGGAGATTCATCACAAGGAACCTACGAGAAGAAGGTTGAAATAGTGGAGACTGTTTAGTCTAGAAGAGAGAAGGTGGAGGGGAGACACTGTAAGCCTTCAGACCCATGAAGACTTATAAAACAGGACAGAGATGAAGGAATAGCAACAATGTGCTAAAATTTTAGCAAAGCAGAACCCTGGTGTTCTATTAAGATCAAATGGAAAATGCAAGGGATACACTTAAGGAGACTGTCAAGTCTCTGCCATGAGACATTTCAGAACAGGCTAGCAAACACCTCTCAGGTACAGGTAAAGTTGATTTTCCTCCAGAGCTGGAGCACAGGCTCCCCTGATTATTTACAGATGCAATTCTATAAATATATAGCGTATGCTGCAAACTTATCATAATTTTAAACACAGTTATTTAAACAGACTTAAACCCAGAAGGTATAGCTACGCTGCAAAGTTATGACTCAAGTTTATGTAAGAATATTAAAAAGGGACAAAACGAAACCTTTCAAGATTCACCCAGGAAGAAAATACAAAAAAAACCCATGAGCTTTCCCGGGGTATCTTTCAGATTATCTCAAACTCCTTCCTTTTTCTTTCTTATTTTTTTGTCTTGCCACAATCAGTTCAGGATCACTTTACAATATCAAAGGCAAAATAATACTGAACATGTGGTAAATACCTTCAATGCATGATACAGTTGAAAAATTGGGTAAGGTTATACCAGCATCTGCTTTTTGGCAGTGCACAAAGAATGACAGAAAATACCAATTACTCTGGCTACAGATTTGTTGCAACAAATTAAGTAAATTTATGTTATCATCAGAGTGATTTACAGCAAAGCCCCTCAGGCAGTATGAACAGTATTTCTTGACTGCCAGCAGAGAGGCAGCATTCTAAACGCTAAGCAGAATATGCTATTTGCTTCAGACCTGACCTACACCAAACACTTGCACATTTTTAAAGGGCGGAATGACTTAAATTTATGAAATTCTTGTACTCTTGCTGTGTTTAGTCAATCACATATATTCCCCAGTGAAAATCTGAAAGTATGGGTAAACTGGTTTCAAACTTCACAGACTTACACCTCTTTATAAAATCTTTTCCACTTTTGCAGTCCTTTTAATCTTAGTCACCTTTGCACCATTGATAAAATTCACACTTCGTAAGAATAACTCAATTTTCTAAAGAACGGGAAACCTAAAAAGAAAACTAATAACATGGCAGATGTATGTCCTGTCCTTAAACCAGGACAATACACAACAGGAGTGAAAGCAACTACTCTGGAAGTCAAGCAAGGGAACAAATGATTTTTTTCCTAAATCTACATAGACACCGTTTTCAGTCATAAAGAAAGTTATAACTGCCAAAATAAATTAAAAAATAATAATTAAAAAAAACCAAATTCTTAACTTACTGTTATCTGCCAATGAGCCAGCTGTTTTATTCTATATCATTTCCCAGCTTTTTGACACTCATACACTGTTCACTGACAAGGAGAGGCATCTTTCCATCCCAGGAACTCTGCTTATTTTTCCTTTTCTCTAATGAAATGTTAAGCCTTTCTACTGTTCCTGATTTCAAAAGCCTTCCTCAATCCACCTGTCCCCCATCCTCCCTCAGCAGCCCGGCAGAGCTGGCCTCAGCACTAATCCTTGGGCACATTTAAAACCAATTTCAATGATGACCTGGAAGTATACACCAAAAGGGTCAATGCCTTTTCAATACAGAATCATAGAATCACAGAGTGGTTTGGGTTGGAAGGGACCTTAAAGCTCATCCAGGTCCAAGCCCCTGCCACAGGAGGGACACTTTCCACTAGACCAGGTTGCTCCAAGCCCTGTCCAACCTGGCCTTGAACACTGCCAGGGATGGGGCAGTCACAGCTTCTCTGGGCAACCTGTGCCAGCGCCTCAGCACCCTCACAGAGAACTTCTTCCTTTTATCTAACTTGAACCTCACCTGTTTAAGTTTGAACTCATTACCCATTTATCAAATTTATATAAACTTTAGTATATCGGTCCTCAGTTGGAGGGTCATTGGTCAAGACACCAGGCTTAATATTTCACATTTCTGACTTATCTAGCAACAGGTCTGCATGCCACCAGATGTTGCAGTGACCTACTCAATGAGGAGCACTGTAATTAACTTTCTGGATTTGTGTGAATTTTCTTTTCTAGACGATATCACCTCAGCACTTCAGGACTATTCAGTCTTTGATCAGTAAAAGATGTCACTCAAATTGCTCAGACTTGTTATAACAACTGTTACATATATATATACATACATACATATATAATACATATTATAGTAACTGTTATAATATTATTTAGTCTTGAGAAGAGAAGGCTCAGGGGGACCTTATCACTCTCTACAACAACCTCAGGGCAGGATGAAGCCAGAAGGTGGCTGCTCTCTGCTCCCAAGTAACAAATGATAGGACAATAGGAAATGTCCTCAAGCTGCACCAGGGGTGGTTTAGACTGGATATTAGGAGCAATTTCTTTCCCAAAGTGTGTCAGGCATTGGAACAGGCTGCCCAGGGTGGTGGTGGAATCATTGTCACTGGAAGTGTTCACAAACCATGTAGACGAGGTCCTCAGCGCCATGGTTTAGTGGTGGCCTTGGCAGTGCTGGGGAACGGTTGGACTTGGTGATCTCAAAGGTCTTTTCCAACCTGGTTGAATCTATGATTCTATGTTGTTACATTGCTGGTAGCTTCTATTAGTTGCCAACACTACAATGATTTCCTAAACAAATCAAGAGTACATTGAAAGTGGTTTTCAGATTGGTTTAATGAAAGAGTCCCCACTGGGCTCTCCAAAAAGCATCCCTTGGTTACTTCAAGATAGTTTTGAACATGAGAGGAACTGACCACAGACAGTAATGAACCTTGAAATCTGGAGTTACTCAGTACAATGCCAATGAAAGAACTTTTCTCAATGCTTAAACCTCAAGAAGTTGACCAGCACAGACTGTAGGAAACCTGCAAGGCCAAAGGAAAGCCACCTGCAAGGCCAAATCTACACAGAGGTCCTGCTTTAACTCCTTCTTCAGCCAAGCAATCCTGCCTAATAACTCCCCTAGCCTGATTACTAAAATGGACAAAACCACATAGGACAACTGCTGGTTTAGGCACAAAGAGATTGATTTGCCAACACTGGAGTTTTATTATTGTCTCCCACAGTGGAATGAAAATGTTACAAGGTGGTTATGGGCTGTAGATACAAATTAAGCTGCTATGAATTGTTACAATAAAATCTGTTCATTTAAACCTTTCGCCAGCCCTAAACCAAGCTGCATCAATGCCACAGGAATTTAACCCAATTTCTCAGCTCCCCTGCCGCAGCTCTCATGATCACTACCGCAGCCAGAGAACATCTTTTGCTTTCGCATCCAGGCTTCTATGCTGGATGCTACTATAAATGGGTAAAAGAATTAAAATGCTCACCTCTAGCAGGAATTTCTATCATGCTTTATAAGCCTCAGTGCTCTTTTTCACCAATTCTTTTAAAAAAAGTTCTTACGCTATTATTTGGCACAAAGGCAAAAGCCTGGGTTTTGTCTCTGTTGACTATTACTAATTTATTTGGAATGGAAAAACTGCATGAGGTTAAACAGAACATAAGGGTTCCAGTGAGGAAGCTTGTGCAACATCATTTTACCATCCAAACAGTACAGGAGCCAAACCAAGTCATTCAGAACATGAAATATTTCATCTGATTTTATGTGCAGCTACAGAAGAGGGCTTTGCTCTGCATTTCTGCATGCGTTTAAATGAAAGATTTTTCATTCAAGAAAACTGCTAGGATCATCTGAGTTGATCTTGAAGATAACAAATATGGTTCAAAGAGTTTCACTCAGCAATTTCTGAGCCAAAACTGTAACCCTCATCTGAACATCAGCCCAGGGCAAATATTAAATTATGACTCATTATGTCAGATTTAATCTCTTTCAATGGGTAATGAGCCTCATTCTTAAAATTTCTATCCAGTTTGTGGTCTGAATGGGGCTAATTTCAAATTCCAAACAAACTCAATACTCGTATGTTATCAAGTGAGGTAATAAAGAATCCGTATTGCTAGAAAAGTCACTACCTATAGGTATTCTGTAGATACCAAATAAGTAATTTTTCTTTTAGACAAAGAATATAAATTAACCTTTTAAATGCCTAACTACAAAGGAGGTCTTCCACACCTTAGGGCTCTTGTCTATGCTTTATCAGAATTCCTCCTTTTTCAAAGCCCATTCGAATAACTTCAAGATATTACAAGAATTCTGACCTCATCATACACATTTCTCACCTTGCTTCTTGTAAGCAAGGCTTTTTCTCCCTATTTCTAAAGTAGTATTTTTAAATTGAATCTGAGGGTTTAACATAATCCAAATCTGCCACAGAATCTACCCTACAGAATACCCCAGTGGGCTTCTGAGCAGTGCACCTTCAGGAATCAATACCACATGGATTCTAGTACATTGGGAATCCCATTGCAGCTACCTAGATTTAACTTTGAAGAGTCACTCATACTAAAGCTATGACAAGATATGCTGTGCCCTCTTGAACTGCACTGGTAAATATAACTGTCCACATAGAAAGTGCACACATTTGTCATATGTAATCACAGCCCAGTAAGACTGATTTGCTCAGTGGAGTGGAGGTTATGTATACTTGCTAAGCTTTTATTCACTTGGGAGGCAGTCCTAACAGTAATATTAGCCCCTTACTGCTGGCTCCACACAGATCTGATCCATGCAAAGTTGTCACTGCAGTAAGACCCTGTCTCTCTGGGATCTGTAGATCACAAAGAAGTACGGGAAGGATCCTGTACTTACCTGTGTCTCTGTGCCACCATCTGTACTGGAAGTATTTTAGCAGTGTCAGTAGCGTAAATAGGTCTATGGAATGTGTGCCTCTTGTCCTGTCACCATGAGCCCTTGTGAGTATAGTAACTACCCGTTACATACTAAGTCAGTAAACATACACTGTGTTCCAAAGTTAAAAGAGGTTGCCCCAGATTTGGAAGAAATAAAAGAAGAGAAGCATCAAGCAGAGGAGACCATATTTTTCTTACTCTCCTGCTGGTATACTATATCTATACCTGAAAAATCAAGATATGCAGAGCTAAGATTACAGCTGAGTCAGCAGGCTCTGGTTTCAGAACCCTCATGAGACTTACGTCATGTCAGTTTGCAAGAACTCTGCTATTAAACAGTCATGTGAGTGCACGAATCTGTATGCTTATTTAGTTTTTCTAATACTACCTATTTAAGAGAAACCTGTCATCACTAGCACTGCCTTCTCCGTGAAGTTGCATACTAAACATTTCCTTGGATCTCACGTGGAAATGGTCAAAGCCTGCTAGTGCTTTTTTCCTACTGATATTTTAGCTAACATTCAATCCAAAGGAAAAGTTTAATTTTTCCCACAGACTTCTACTGCCCTCTGTAGGATTATTTTAAATAAAATAGTAGGAATAAAGTAGAAGGAAAAACTAAAAAGGAAGTGTGTGAGACAGTCACATTACCGTATCACTTCATAAACACACTGGAGATGGCATATTAGTAATGTTTCCTACAGCTTTGGAAGTTCAGGGATTTTATAGACTGTGGATTGAAATCAGAAAGTAATAACAATATTCCCATACAATCTTAACAGACTTTTGAGATTTCAGTATGAAAACGGAAGGCCTGAAAGTCAGTGCAGACAGTGGATATATGAGGGTGTTCAGAGCTAGTAAAAAATCCCCTCCATTCTGCAGGACTGCAGGCTGCTTTCAGAAAGCATTTCTCAAAAGACTCTGCATTGTGTACAGCTAAGCACAACACTGAAATATGTTCACAGGAAGATCGATTCTATGAGAGCCCTTATTGAAGTTGTATGCTTCAATACTTCAGTTTCATTCCTGATACTACCTCAGACACAATTCTACTCCCTGCCATGGACAAAAAAAATTAATTTCTTTACGCTGAATTGCACTGTCAAATAAAATTTGGCTGTTTTTTATTTGGTGATTATATTAGACATGGCAATGTAAAGCCTCAATAAAACCAGTAACACGTCATTTACATACAGGGATAGAAACACAAAGTTCATTTTACACATTCATACATGATACATGATAATTTGAACTCATAATCGCGAGTTCAGCAGTGACCTTGGGAGGTGGCTAATGCTTTTCATGATATAGTACGCTTGTGGTCCTGCTTTTGGCTGGAATAGTTTATTTTCTTCCTAGTAGTTGGTACAGTTAAAGGACATCAAAGAACATGAAAGTAGACCAAAGGTATACTTACATACACATGGACTATAGAACTTGTGACAATTCAGAAATGAGTTACAAGGCTACATATTTACCCTGCTGTATGAAGAGACTACAGTGACATCAAAAATCACAAGCCTGACTGGCTTATTATTTCCCCGCAATCCAAAACTGCAATTAGACTTAAAAATTGCATTTTTCTTTAGGGAAAAGAAGCCTCTAACAGCAATTACACACATTCAAATACCCTGCCTAAAATGTTACTGCAATTATAAATGGTCACCTTCCACTAGACCAGGCTGCTCCAAGCCCCGTCCAGCCTGGCCTTGAACATTGCCAGGGATGGGACAGCTTCTCCGGGCAACCTGTGCCACTGCCTCATCACCCTCACAGGGAAGAATTTCTTTCTTATATCTAATCTAAAGGGTACCACAGCATGTTACTATTTTACGACATAAGGAATGAGGGCACTGAAATTCCTGTAAGTTTGAGGGGAATATCACATATGGAGCGTGGGGATAACTCCAAAAAGCAAGTTAAATCTATCACTCCCCAACCTTAAAGAAGATGTCCATAGGACTGAACTAGGTTCTAAGTCCTCCTTACTAGAGAAGGCCCATCTCTTCTCCACATGTTGAAACTGGTGTCAAAAAGCATGTAAACATTCAGAAGGTAAAATAAAATACTGAAGACACAGTGTAAAGCTATAAAGTAAGTATGAAGTGGGGAAGTGAGACTTGTAGCTTCTCACATGCTCCTTTGTTACTAGTAGGTATAAATCTCAAAACAAATGTGCATGCATCCAAGAATCTCTTGTTTTTATGCAATAGTGTAATTCCTTTCAATGTTACATAAATCCTTTCCCTAAGATTTCTGGAAAAGCAGTGGTCTCATAATTACTTAATGGAATCTTTAAAAAAATGTAGGGTATTTATTTTCCAGTAGCTATTCCTCTATGCTCCACTGACTGTCCTTCTCATTTCTGATGTATTCTGTTTCAATTAATGCACTTTTATTGCCACAAGACACAGACGATTGACTAACAAGACTACGCACATTTGGAGGGAAAGGCCACAGATTAATAACAGATAAAAATCACAACGTACTTTGCAAAGAAACGATTCAAACACAATGCACCCAAGGCTACCCGCTATCACAAAGTGACCGCTTGTGCCAAAACACTCTGCCAAAGCAGGCAAATTTCCCTTTCTCCCATTTCCTTCTCCAAAAACACGCAATAGAGCTGACACTGATTCAAGAAATGAAAATTTACCAAGACTGGCACACAACATGGTCATGGGAGTCTCATTTCCTCAGGCAAAATACAGGATATGGGTCAGAAAACTTGAATTGTCCTAACACTCTGACAATCAACTTTGGCTGGCAATGTTACAATTAATTTAAAGTAAGCCAAAAATTTGTCAGACCA